CCCGGTCTTGCCAATCATCTCCCTGACGAGGACTCGCACAAAGGTCACTGTATAAGCATTTGTGACGGCCCCACACTCTCACGCCTCAGGTACCAGTCTCAAGACCGGACGCAGGCCTGCCCGAAGTTCAAATTCCTCCAGTCTAATCTCCACTCCTTTGGTACGAAATAAATGATTTCGCAGCAGTAGTTTAATTAGTGCGCCTCATATGCACCCAGCCCCAGAATTCTGTTCTATGGAGAGGTGCTAATAGTGGTTTTATGGGTGGAGAATTGGGATAGACAGTGGAATATACTTTAATAACTGCTTAATGCATTTTTATGTTATTTCATATAGAAATGTTTTTGATTTATATCTGTTGATTTTCCTAATTCGTATTATTGTTTACCGTATTGCGGAAAAACCAACTATCAAAATGCAGGTTTCTTTAAGTTCCTTAAAAAATATAAATGGTAATTAGGGGTTCATTTACTTCAATTTGCCTGAGGTCCAACTCACCGTTTTGGAGTTAGATTAGTATAGTCCGCGGCCCGAAGCGTCGTGCACACCTTCAATATACATGCACAACAACTTACTGCCAGCGACCAGGGGAATCAAATTCAACTACATTTTTACATTTCTGCAAATTTCCTTCACGGCCTATCCTATTTCCCCACCCCCGAAATCCTATAACTACCGTTACCGTAAGACAAAATGCCGGGATATATAAGGTGCACTACTTAACCTACACTTACCAATTATTCTTCAAACACTTTCTTTCACTGCCTATCATAGTCCACAACCCATAATGTCCCGAATGCCAACGGTCCCATAAAACTGAATGTTGGGTCTAGGCGTACGTGTTTCGCTACTTAAACTACTTTAACCACTATTCTTTGCACTCTGGTCTCAAATTTATACTCCTTCCTACAAGGAACCGGGCTTGCAGTTTCCACCGACAAGGACTTACCTATTAAATCAACCCACAATAAACCAGGCATTGGCTAGTTTTACCCATTAACCTGACTCTCTGCGACAGGCGTACAGATATGCATTTCAAATCATATAGCCAGACTTCACTTGAAATTTGGGAGGCAATGCATTTATACCGCAACTAACTCTCACCTGAGCCGTAATGGCTTCAAATATGAAACAAGGGCCTGAGGGCCCAACAGTGGCCGCTGGTTGCCCGGAAAGAAGGGCGTAGGTTGCGGTGAAAAAGCCACAGGCGATGATACACAATTCGAGATTGACAAGCGAGTTAACTTCCTTCACTAAAGAGCGGAAGAGAGAAAATCAGTTTTTGGACTGTGACTGGATTCAGGAATAATCCAACAAAATAAATTTTAATTATCCAACAACAACGCCAGGTTCGAAATTTAACTTGAAGTACAGGTAGCCACCGCACATGAAACTGATTCTGCTTAATCCTGACTTTATGCAGAAAGTCGGCTGCCGGTTACTTTCAAAGACGCAAACTCCTCCAGGATGCTTGCAGCCATCCCGAATGACCTACGAAAAGTGATACCAGTCTGCATGCTTCAAAATGAATAAATGCGAAGGCTCATATTCCGAAGACGTTTATACGCGTCCGGCCTCGGAGGACTCAAACAGAAGTAGCACCGAGGATATGGTACGCTCTGCCATACATGAGGGACGTCTTCGAAGCTAGTGTGCGCATCGCTGCGGGAGAAGGTTTTGATATTGCAAACCGACCCAAAGCTATTCTGTGCAGCGGAATGATGAAATACAAAGGCGGGCTAAATCCCAAAGGGCAATCTGGGGAGTGTATCGAATCCCATGCCTAAGCAGTCCTTGTAATTACAGAGGACAAAGTGA